TACTGCAAAACGTCACTGTTATGATCATGTCCGTCATGAATCGAATGCTATGTGGATAGTTTTTTGGATGAGTTCATTCGAATCATATTTCTTACTAATCCAGTGAACTTCTTGGATGAAATCCACTACAATTTTGCACAGAATTTAACCTCATCAGCTCTAATGTTGTACACCATAAAAATGTTACACCTTCTTCGGATAACAACTACTGAATCATTTTCATGAAGAAGTATTTCATCTAGGACGAGCAGTTAACCACATCAATCTCTTCGAAGAAAAATTACTCTTTTGAAGTGATAACAACAGGTATATTGACCCGAAAACAAACTTTTTGTATCGGTTTGTCTTTCCGGAAAGCCAGCGTCTTTAGCAGATACCCACGCAGAGAAGAAATCCGATTCATCGAGAGTTATTTGCAGCATCTGAATCAATTTTATCTCATACAATGTTCAAGCAATCCGACTGATTCTAAGTGCGACGAAAATTTTCTCGTTAATTTTACTGTTTTGCCATACCGTTCGAAATATGATCGAACTCGACCGGAATCCCAAATAATTTCAACCAGCAGTGAACAAACTTACGCCACTTTTGAGATCAACGGTGAACCAAGACGGGACAAAAACCTTCTTGAAATTATCCTTTATCACCTCTTCCATTGGTCGCCTCCCATGATCAGATACCTATGATTAACAATCGAAAATAACAATTCCACTAATCACGCACTGCTCACAATATTCACCACTTACCCAACCGTTAACTATTATAGTGAAACAAAAAATTGAACGATTTTAAAGAATTCCTTCGCGAAATAGAGAAAAACGAAAATGCAGGACGAAAATAAATAGGAAAGCAAAATGAAGAATCCATTTTAAAAAAATCTGCTTTCTGAATCTAAAATTTATAATCTGATCTAAANGCTAAGAAAAAAGAACGCAATGAACCAACTTTTCTTCCCTTCAGCACATCCCAAACAGCCACGTTATCGTCCGTATCTTTTGTAACAATGTGACGTTTGTCGTTGAGCACAACGTGTTGGCGAATACTTGGAGCACATAAAATGGGTAACGTTCTAATTAAATTGTCCATGAAAAGAGCTATACAAACAAATCCCAAACTAGGGCTCACCACTCCTTAAGGCTAAGGCTGACTGTGAGGCATAATCTATGGTTGACTCTGAGACTGAGGTTCATCTCAAGTTTACAGTTAAACCTAGCCTAATGACTGAAGTTAATGCAGAAGTTTTTTTTTCGCAAAATTATCCATGAAAAGTGGGGAAGATTTTATGTTGACTGATTCTCTCAACGCGATAGTTAATAGAGATAGAATCATTTTCGAAATTTCATCAATGTTCACAAAAACTTGAGTAGTGGCAGCTCTATTTCAACTGCGCATTTCATAAGTTCACGAAGGCATTCTAGCATAAAATACTACATCACTCTGAACCATAATTATTTCGCGGTAAATTATTTGTACATTGTTTTGACGTTAACCAAAATCAAGACAAAGAGGAATACACATAATTTTGTTCAACTGAAAGCATTCAAAATAATTTTTGAACACCAGCTTTAGTATTTCTACAGTGAACTTAATTCCAAGTTATCCTAACAATTCATTTCCATGTTTTACTCCACAATACTAATTGTATACAGGAATACGAAATCATCTAAGAATTGAAGCAGATCAAAACGACGAATTGACTAAATACCGGGTATGATGAGGTCAGGCTCGTAAACGAACGGTACCATATCCTCATAGCAGCTATCATCATCCACTATGTTCACACTCAGCTGTCCCTCACTCGGCAACTGCCATCGTTTTATCGATGAGTTCCAAGTTGCAGCCCACATCGAACGAGGACGATCAACATCTGTCAGTTGCAACTGAAAATTGACTGAGTGAAATGTTAAGTTTTCACACCTTAACAAAAAATTTTTTTGCGATATATGTTTTGAGAAACTGATTGATAACTATCCAATTAACTCGATGTCGAATAGCATTATTCGGAAGTTGAAAAGATCAAAATTTGATGCAGGACGATTAAAATCTAAAAGAAACGAATCGTTGGGTCGGTAAAGAAACGATAAATACCCTTTGAATGGGCGCATCTTCAACAAACATCAATTGGGAACTTTTGAAATCATTAATCGCCGTTCGAAATACTTGTTTATCGCGACCACCCGAATATACATATGAGAAGCTTGAGTCTGCCTGAAATTTCGATGCGTTTATCACGGCAATTCGATCGCTTTTTAGCTTGAAAAGAACGAGACGAGAAAATACGCACTCACAGACAATTCCACACCTTTCCATAGCCAATTTTTACAAATTCATTTCGTCCAACGAGAATCATTTTCGAAAATTATCTAATAGCAAAAGGATGTAAAAGGAATAAAGGAATTGTTGAAAGTTTTAGAAAGATTTCAAAGGAGTGATTATAGAATAAAGGTTACGAAATGATCTTCCTCAGCACCTGCAAAGCCCAAACTCCTTCTGAATGACATTTATGTGATGATATACAACACTGCTGACCAATACTCCATAATTTAATGGTACCATCACTACTTGCCGATACGCACTTCACATATGAAACAATTTCACTTGTCATTTAATAATCGTACAAAAAACATAAATTTTATTTCAATTTCTTTGCGTACGCTATAAAAATTTCTACAAAACGACAAATCCCAAACGGACGCCATTTAAATTTCTACTGAAACTTCCAATGAATTTCGCTCATTATCAACTTTAACAGAGCTCGATAGAGCATCGACATGTTTGTCATTTGAACAAAAACACTATCCATTCAAGTGAAAAAATCAAACAAGATAACAAAATACAAATAGGTATATTATAATGACGATCAGAAACATCTAATTAAAAACCTGTGTTCCATCGCGATTCACANTTCTGACATGCACGCGGATCAAAAACACGTAAAACCTTAAAAATACATTCACATTAAATTCAACTGCTCAATTATAATAATGAACTAACGCGTTTCCTAAACTTCAGTAAATCCCTCAAAAGACACATGGATATTACAGTCTCAACAAAGACGATTTTATCGACAATTCGTTGATGACGACACAGAGAGAACTGCTCGAAAATGAAACCTTTTCAGTAGATCCCGAGATGAC